CCCCAAAACCCCAAAACCCCAAAACCCCAAAACCCCAAAACCCCAAAACCCCAAGAAAGGGGGAAAGTGGAAAAGAGAATAAGATTTTCAATCAAAAAAAATTATAATGGAAACTCCACACTATGACACTGCTGTTGTTGGGCTTGGATGTGCTGGGCTCGGCATTTCGTATTATTTCACAATGAAAGGATGCAAAGTAATGCCCCTATTATTTTTAACGCTATAGGTAATCGGATTAGAGAAAAACTCGGACTCTGGTGCAATGGGGACCTCTTCTTATGGTTTTACAAGAATTTGGAGAGTAACACATGCTGATAAGCTCAGAAACGACATGATGAGAGAATCACTGAAGCTGTGGAGAGAGATAGAACTAGCTGTTGGCAAAACTCTGTTGGAGAACGGAGCTATTCTGAATTTCGGACACCCAGATTCTGAGTTTTTGAAGGGAATATTCAGTCAATTCCCTGATGATCCAGTCATTGATGGTGATGAAATTATGAAGAAGTATCCTGCTTTCAAAAATGTTCCGAAAGATTATATTGGAATGGTTACTGATACAGGTAAACATATAAGGTAATTTATTTAGATTGAGGAGTAATGAGATCTAACGAATGTCTGCAAGCTGTTAAGCATCTCTGATTAGAGCAAGGAGCTAATTTCCAATATAACAGTCATGTGGTGAAGGTAAATTTCTCTTTAAAACAATAGATCGAGAATGATGCCCAAACTGGGTACTTTATCATAACTCTTAGAGACGGGAGTCAGTACATAGCTAGGAATGTTATTGTAGCCTGTGGCTATCAGACAGATAAGCTCAAAGACGAAACTATTGAAGTGATGTCTTATGAAGTAGAGAACTTTCACATTGAAGGTAAGTCTTATCTATTCATATTTCTAGAAGGTTATCAAGGCTTACCAGATGCATTTCTAGAAGATACTCCTGACCATGTTTATTATGGGTTGAAGGACGGGGCTGATCTGAAGTCATATAAGATCGGTCTTCATGAAGAGAGGAACATAGATGCGATGATGAGCTATTTCCAAAATCGATTTGATACGAATATTCTCGGGCATGCTGGAGAAAATGAAAAGAATAAACTGAAGATAAAAGGCTCACAACCTTGATTTTATTCATTTGGGAAAGACAAGAAATATAATTACTCAAGAGGAGCTAATGGAGTTTACTATGCCTATGGATTCACAGGCACTGGATTCAAGTTCTTACCTCTCCATGGGAAGATTATGTACAGTCTTGTGGAAGGTGAAGATACAGGCTTAGATTACCCATGGCTTAAGAGAGAAGTCATGATTGCAAGAATTTAAGTGTTTATAATGCATATTAGAAGAAACCAGAAGTTCTGGGGTTTTGGGGTTTTGGGGTTTTGGGGTTTTGGGG